CAAGAGCAGGGATGTGGCTGGTGTTGGGATGAGAGGAAGGATGACTGGGAGCGATGTGAGAGATGAAGCAATAGGGGCACAAAGAGTTATGGGCAGTTGTGAAGGAGAGGACCATACTTGAGCTTTCACAGAGGAAAATAGACAAGCTGGTGGAGGGGTTTGCAGAGGATGGTATGTAACCTCCAGAGCACTGGAAGGGGTGCATGCAGCCGAGCTGGGCTGAAACCACTAGATCTGGGGGAGGAAGATGTGTTATGAGAATTCCAGCTTAGAGAAAGTATATACCTACTTTCTCCATCAGTACTTCTGACCAAGTTCTGGCTCATGTTATATATCATGTTACAAGAGCTTTGCATTCAGGGCTGTGGCTTGTCTTGCAGACAAGACATCGTGTATAAGTTTTTGGCATGTTGAAATCGGAATTGTTTACTCTTCTTGCATTTTTATGAGGACAAGTAATGATGACAAAAACAAGACTTAAAATATGTTGAATGGGGTTTGAGGTTTTTTTTTCCCAATGAAGCAAAACTACTCCCCCAGCTTCTTTCTAGTCTGTTTGAAAATAAATAATCTACTTAATTTTTCTTTTGCACCACGTGTTACCAGAGGCAAATTTCTGATGGAGGACAATGGGGGTGATATTCAAGTAGCTGTTGCTGTCAACCGCAACCTCCGATGGCCGAACTTCAGAGCACCAGAAAAACAACAGTATTGCTTGCAAAGAATGCTTCTACAGAGCTTAGGCTTGTTATTAGACTTCTCACACTGATGATCTCCAAAATTGTAAATGATGAGGGAATTTGACTTTAACAATACCATTAAACAATAGTGAAAGAGGATGATTTCATGCCTTTTTTCCTCTGGTGCTTTAAGACATTGTGCTGTAGGAGAGTGTGGGGTTTATTGATTAGATCTAAAGCTGGCTGGTCTAAGCTTTCTCATGACTAATTGGAAGCCGACTTTGTAATAGTTGCATGCAGGGAATTCTTTGGGGGTTTTGTTAGTGATAAATATGTTCTGAAAGACTTTGAAAGAATGCACTTCTCCCTGAAAAGGGCTCATGCACCTGAATGCTTGCGTGCTTTTCCCAATTCTGCTGCTCTTCAGGAAGAAGACACTAGTTCTTCCAACCAACTTGGCTCTGCCTAAGGAAAAAAAAAAAAAAAGCCTTTTGTGCATAATTGCGTTGGTTGGATTGTATTTTTCCACTTCTCTCATTTTCAAGCTGTTTGACCGTTGGAAATACATTCCTTTGGTGCCCAGTGGACCTTCAATCCTATAAAGTGTTTCTAAGGGATGTGCGTTAAGGCATTTGCAGAGGGATGCAATTAAATACACAAGCCTTAACAGTTATTTCAGCACCCCAGCATTGTTTTTCTTACTGCACATGGTTTGTATATCCAGCCATAACTCTCATACATTTGGGTTTCACAGACTCCTTCCTATTTTATGGTACCTTAAAAAAATAATCATCATATGCATACAGACACACATCTCTATTCTTACTTCTCTAGAGTGTGAGCATCCATCCTTACAAACGAGATGAGTTTCTGAAGTGTTGCTTTCAGCCAGCTTTGTGTCATAATGCTGCACTAGTATCCAGCCAGCAGCATGTCACTGAAGGTTATTTCTCCTTTTGCATCTATGTGGCTGCATTGTATTTTGCTAGATGGGTGGCAAACATCTGTTCATTCTGCTCTGCAAATCCTCTTCCTTGTTGCGAACACAAGAAGTAACAGCTCCCTCCATCTGAGGTAGACTTCCTTGAACCCCTGTACGCTGGCACCATGGTTTAAATGCTGTTACTTGGCATAGAGTGCTATGGAAGTAGTCCCTAGGATGAACTACTCTCATCTTGCTCGCACCAGTTGTGTCCGTTACCAAGCATGGAGTACTGATATGTAACTTCTTCAGCAAAGCTTGTTTTCAAGGGGCTTTGTCCCAAAGCAGTGTGTGCTCATTGTCCGCATGGTCACAATTGCTGTCACAAGCTATTTTTATTGTAGTCTTTTCTAAGTAAAAGGTATGTTTAAATCATTCACCTTCACTGTCACTTCTCTTTCTGACTTGGTTTAATTAGAATGCCAGAATTTAATAGGTAGATGCTTTTAGCCAATATTTAGTATTTTTCTGAGTGATAAGTATGATATAAGAACAAAACCTGGGTGAGAACAGAGTTGACAGAATTGGGGTTGTTCAGCCTTGAGAAGAAGAGGATCCAGGGAAACCTTAGAGCAGCCTTTCAATATGTAAAGGGGCTTATAAGAAAGATGAAGAGGGACTTTTTACCACGGCCTGTGGTGAAAGGACAAGGGGCAAGAGTTTTAAACTATGAGAAAGTAGGGTTAGACTGGATGTAAAGAAGAAACCTTTTATGATGAGAGTGGTGAGGCATTGGCGCAGGTTGCCCAGAGAAGCTGTGGCTGCCCCATCCCTGGAAGTGGAGGAGGAGGAAGGTCTGACTGGGTGATGTGCTTTGGTAGCTGTAGTTTGAGTTTGTGTTTTATTCACCTTTTTTTTTTAATCTAAATTTTCACATTACTGTTAGTGCTGACCAAAGCATGCTTAGGGCCCCATGAGATTTGTGAATAGAAAGGTTATTTTATCCAGGAAAATGAACATATTATGTCAACCTCATGTACTTCCCCTTCTGAGACTAAACTTAAATGGTTTTGTTCAGGTTTGAACAGCTTTCAAGTCTCTTAAGAAATTTTCATTGTTTTACTGAAAATGACAAAATCCACCAATCAAATGAGAAATCAGAGTGTTTCATCCATTCCAAATCCTTATGTTTTTCCAGGTCAAACTCTTCTCTGAATTATTGCAAGCCCACTAGTAGCTCTGTTTCTTTGCAGCATGGAAGGGAGGATAGCATGTGAGGATCCAGCTTTTACCTGGCAGGAAAATAAATCAGTATTTACCACTAATCTCTATGTCAGTGCCCAGATGTGGAGAAGGAGGTGGCATGGGCTGAGCTTAAAATTATGCTGCAGCTTTTCTGTTGGGTTAAAATTGTATTTGTAATAGCAGGGAAAGGAAACCTGTTTGTTTTGACACAATGAGGGTTGTGCCATTGCAAAATCTTCTTAGGATGAAAAATGTCGGGTTTGGCCTTAGCGCTGGGAGTAGCTCGTGTGCCACTTGGCCACAGGCAGCAGGGTGGTTTGGGGTGGGAAGCTGTGCTTCTTCACAGGCTGGTTCCCCACCGCTTTGTTTTCAAGGCTTTTATTTAATCATCTTTTGTAAAGCTCAAATAAGAAAGCCAAGTAATAACAGCATTCAAAAGCAGCACTGATGGTTTCATTGAAGTTTTAACCTGAATGATAATGCAGTTTGTTCCTCAGTTCTACAGTGTTTCAACTTGATTTAAAGAAGTGGTTTAAAAAAGCTCTTTTACTTTTTGCTCATCCCTTGCCCTGATCAGTTGTATAGCGGAAAGTACTGGCAGTGCCTGCAGAAGCATCCTGCTCTGGTGCTCTGTGTCTGGGTCAGTGTGGTGGGATGTGGGAGATTAGGGAAGATGGTCAGCGGAGAGCTGTGCCCTGTTCTCTCCATTTACTAGGACTCATTGTAACTCAGCCTTCATCTCTCCATACAACTCTGTGTTGGGTCCTTCTTTAGGTAGGTAAGTGCTGGCTTTGGTCTCCCAAGTTTCATTCATAAGATTGCATGGCTTTTGTTGGAGTAAAGCAAGATGCAAATGTAAAATCCAGCTTCTCCTTAGGAGGCAGGAATGGGATGCTCTTTGCCTGGAAGAGTGTGTGCATGGCAAAGAACTCAGGAATAGGTGTTTGTGTGTGGAGCAGAGAGGTAGAAGAGGGAAGGTGAGAGTTCCAGGGTCTGTCAAAAGGAAAGACACTTTAGAGATTATTATTTTTAATAGGAAGTTTTATGGCCTGTAGCTTAAGGAGCCACTCTTTTAACTAGCAATTCAGGGAAGGAGTTGATTCTTCTCTGCTATTTCAAACATGCTTTTGATGCCACAGGTTTTGTCTTGGAACAGTAATGCACTTGATAACCTTCGCTGCTTTTTTGAAGCCTCTTTGTTCTTATTTTAGGCTGTATTTAGCTTGCCTGTGTGTTTATGGTTTAAATAACTGTGATGGGGTTTCCTCAGTGTAAAGAAACCCCCATCCTGGTCAGAGCAGCCCTGGTTGTTGGCAGGTGTGGTAACAGGCAGAACAAGGTGTTTGGCCCCTAATTAGTCTGTTGTGAAATTGCTAATTTTAGGAAGTGGAAATAGCTGGGGAAAATGCTGCTGGTGATGAGCTGCTGCACCCTGGGGTAGCTGGGAGGACTAGTGAAGTTTCTAAACTGAAATCCCAGTTTCTCGGTAGGGGTGTTTATTTAGTAACTGTCAAAGAGTTTTTAATGCAGCAACTATTTTTTCATGAATAAGAGGTCGCTACGTAAAATTTTTTCCTCTTGGCAAAAATCGTGTTATAAAGATGTACTTGCTCTAGGTTTAAAGTGTTAATTTGTGTGGTATACGGAATTGGATTTAAAGGTCCCTGAAGACCTGTGAATCTTAGTAGCTAATAAGGCTTGCAGAAGAGAGCTTGAGAGAGGAAAAACTTACTGGCAGTGAGTAATACTGGTGAAAGAGCTCCAGGATTGAGCAAGTTTTGCAGAGAATAATTAGAAATGATTGCATCGGCATGTGGGGTGTTTGATTATTTCCAGCGACAGATCTCTCCTGACTCTGCCTGCATCCCTGTCCCTGTACCTCCTGTGCCTCGGGGGGATGCTTCTCCCTGCTGAAACCCTTCAGGTTGAGTTTTCTCAAGTCTTAGACTGTTTCCAAGGGGACACAGCTCCCTGTGGTTTCCCTTGGGATGAGCTGAGCATCTGTGAGCAGCCATCTCGCATCTCCCGTGGCTCTCCTGCTCAGCTCAGCAGAGCTATCCCTGGTGGAAAGGATTTGGTGTTCAAGCGCTGATCTCTCTACTTGGCTAAGTCATCCTTGCCAGAAATGCATAAACTTGTCCTTCTTCTTCCAGCTGGCCTGGCTGAACTTCTTTCACCCTGAAGAAAAGCTGCACATTGGAGAAGAAGGTAGACGTGTCCGTCGGAATAAAAGGAGTAAAGGCAGCGAAGGGCCAGACGGTGAGTCCTGCTTCATTCCTTGCTGCTGCACTTCTTGTCTTTGCACAGATGAGCAGAAGACTGACACTTTTTCAGTTCATGTTTCTGATCATGGTACAGAATTGTGTATATGGGGGGAAAAAAGATGGCATCTGTGGCTTTTAATAGTTTCTATCTGATTTTAATTGCCTTTCCACATAAGGAATGCCAAAAGCTGTGATTTCTGCAACTCTACTAAACTAATGCCATTTAGTAATTTTGTCCTTGACTCTTCTTCTCTAATGGTAAGGCTATATGTTTATTTATAGTATAATTTGTACTTGTTTACATATTTGTTGTTCTGTACACCTCTGTCTGCTTAAAATCATCAAGTAGCTATTTGTAGTCCAACAAACAGCTGTGAACATCTGCAATATAAAATGGTAACTGCTCTAACAGGGTTTTGCAGTGCAGTGGAGCCTCAGATGGGTTCAAAGCCCTCATGAAGGGAAGTCAAAGTTGTACAAAGCTTGTATGAAAAGAGCAGAAAGGTACCAAAAACTCAGAATTATTTGTATGCAATTTGATAAATATAAAAACAAGGATGTGTGATACTGACTTCACCTTCAGCCCCTTCCCCAAGCTTGAATCCTGCCTGATTTCAGTATGAGGAATTTTCTTTCCAGTGCTGTCTTTTCATGACTGTCTAGCTACACTGCAGCATGAGGAGTGCTGCCCGTGTCAAGCTCCTGGAAGAGCTCCAGCACTATCCCTACTTCAGAAAAGCACAGGTAGATTTTTATACAGAAAAGAGAAGGGGACTGAATGGCAGGGAGAGGAGGGAAAGAAATATTGCATTAGTGGTCTGTGCTTGGGTTGGTGCTTGCTAAGGCCAAGTCCTTGCTGCATTATAAACCTCTCAGCTACTGTTCATTTTCCACTCCAGTTCCCTGGCTTCACGAGTTTCCCATCTCCCCTGAAGCTTTCGCAGTTTCACAGTGGAAGAGTATTTCCCTGTGGCTCTACTCCAAGAAAAAGCTTCCTGAAAGTCCCTGGATTCCTCCTTCCCAAAATGCTGACAAGTGTGATGCATTTGGTACAGACTCCCAGAGTGATTCCAGCTCAATATGGTCCATCATCTTTAGAGCTGGTGTTACTCTGATGCTCAGATGGCTCAGGCTGGATCCAAGACCTTTTGCACTGACTCCTTGAAATCTATTCCAGTGTTTTTGCAAGTTGCTTGTGTAAGTAGCAAGTTTCCACTGTATGCGAGTGGTGTAAATGGAGCGCTGCAGGCAGATGTTAGGAGGAATTAGATGAGCCTGTTACGCTGCCTAAGGGCTGCCTTTCTATTGCCAGATGTATAGGGAATCACTGCATGGTGAGAAATAGATGCTGAAAATCTGTGGACTAATGAGGGCTTTTCTCATCATCCTTATGGCTGGGTGAAAATATGTCATACTTATAACTTGCAGCCCTTTCCCAGATTTCCTTTATCTTCCCTGAATGTGTCAGAGTTGAGTCCCTCCGGAAACGTAGCATACTTACACTGGTGTTGTATGGCTTTTTGTAAATTAGGGGGTTTGACCCCCTGTGATGGAGATGGGGGAAATGGCTGGAGAGACAGGTCATTGTCCTAAGTGGCGTAGGCAAGGTGGTTATGTTGGAAAGCAGTTACTTTGCATTTGGCCATCTCAGCTTTATTAGGTAGGGCAGTATTTAAAAAGCGTAAGCTCTCAGGGTGGGGATTGACCTTATAATAGCCATAAAACCAGTAAATAGAACAGCTTTCTTGTGTAGATTGTTTGGTTTAGACCTACATGAAGGAATCTTACTTTTTAGAGAAGGGGAATGAATCATTCAAAAAATAAAAAAAATCATGTCACGGTACTGATAACACCGTTTTCTTCATGAGTTTTGCAAAAGGAAAGTCAATCAAATCTTTGATCTCTGGAGAGCCTCCAGAAGATAAAAGTGGCTGAACTATAAATTTCCAGAAGGAAGGAGATGTGCTTTCCACTTGAGGCCTCACTAATATTTGTCTGGAATTAATTTTATGAACTTTCAAGTCCTTTCACACATGCAGTGAAAGACCAAAGTGATCCAAGTGTGGAAGCCATGGTTGGAGGGAAGCTGCTCAGTCCCCTTTCCACGGCTGTTTGAGTCCTGCTCTGGTACCAACAATGGGATGGCTTTGATGATTTATAAACATCAAAGATAACACATTCCCTTTCCTAAAAGTTTTCTTTCAAGTGTTTTGCTGTGATAAAGGTGGGTTTGAAATGGGTCAGAGCTGGCCCCATGAGGCCAGGGGAAGGTGATGGATATGGCTCCATGCTCTAGGCACAGGGATAGTACATGGGAGGCCACGAGCAGCAAAGCTGCTCCCTGCTGAAAAACCCCAAGAAATATTGTGTGAATAGCGCAAAGCTATCAGTTGGATCCTGTCACCTCCAGACATGATTCCAGTATTTCAAGGGCTGCTCCTTTGAGGACTCCGGCTTCCGACCGCTTGTTATTTTTCTGATCATGTTTGCTTAAGTTTTGTTCGTGTCCCTCCACACACAGTCCCCTGCATCCAATTAAGCAAGCCAAGGTCGTGTCCTGGAACAAGGTGCCTGCCTGGCGCCCCTCTCCGCTCGCTGTCTGCCCAGCCATGCTCTGGCATGGGTCACCCTGCCAGAGACAGACAGGATTAATGGGAGGCTGATGCCCATCCCAGTCCTGAGGAGCACAGATCATCTTTCAAGCCAGCTTCCTGTCCATGCCTCCAAAACCAATATTTGCACAGCCTTAAAATCACCACTATTTTTTTTGACTTCTCAAGGCCCAGGATTATCCCTTTTACAGCTCCATTTTATGGTGTTCTTTCCACTCTGTGTTACTGACTCCACCTGTCGCTTAATTTGCTTTAGTTCACTAATATTTGACCCTCTCCAATGTCTTTCTTCTATTTTTCTCTTTTTTCCCCTCTTGGTGTATTTATGCTGCTGTGGAACCACTGTTGCTCCCAGATTAACAAATCATTCTGGAGCTGGTAATTAGCAACAGTTGTGCTAAAAGGAACCATCAAGAATGTTAAATTAGTCCACTTTTAAATAAACTGTGTATGAAATGTTAGATCTCTATTCCCAGAGCACCAGTAAAAATGCTGCTGGCTCTTTGCTAACAAAGCCAAAATATGGGAGTAGCATGGTTGTAACTACAGAGACAATTCCGTGCTCTTGAGGTTATAAATAATGACAGAGCATTTATAAAGCAGATGTCAATTGGACTCTTTAAAAAACATTGTTTTAAAAAAAAAAGTTTCTTTTTCTCCTACTTTCATCTCTGTTCCCAGTTAGATCCCTGCCGTGCTGCTTTCCTGGTTTGTTTGGTTTTTGCTTTTTGGTTTGGGTTTTTTTTTTCCCTTCCTAGATTTTTTCATATTGAGCTTGGTGAGAAACATAAGTGATTGTTATCCATTCTTTGATTTGGAGCATGGCAGCTGGGAAGAGGCTGAGCAGATGGCTGTCCTTAAGCTGACAACAATTTGGTTCCTACTACTTTGGCAGTCCTTATTGCCAAGGAAAGTCCTTGATGAGAACTCATGGGTTTCAGCACTGCAAATTGCTTTTGTTGAAATGAAAATTAAATTCTAGGAGAGCAGAAGCTCGTCTCAATCTCTGCTTCTACCTGGAGCTGGGGAAGTGATGTGCCAGTTATGTGGGTTCAGTGTTTCACCCTGTTAGTATTTGCTCGGTGGTTTTAGGATGGTTTAGCAGGTAGCTGATGCCAGAGCCTGGCTGGGGATGCCTGGATCCCTTCATCCCCAGGTAGCTCCCGGTCCTGCAGGTGCCGTGTCTCGGCCATCCCCCCTTCACTGGCAGCACTGACCATGCAATAATCACAATAGAGACTTTTCTTGCTGGCTTCCTCTCCTTTGCCAAGGGCAGGTTTGTCCCTCTGCCTCCAGAACAATCAGTGCCTTTGTGTCAGCCCCGTGCAATTCCCCGTGCATTCAGTAAATACAGAACATTTCCTGGATACTGGAGTGCAGGAGATGGTCACAAAAGAAAGGCTCACCACAAAGTGCTTGCAAAATTCTGTTTTCCCCTAGAATTTCTCTGTGATTTCCCCCAAAATGGGAGAAGGGGGAATTAGGATGGTGTTTGAATCTTCATGGACAATCTCCATCCCTTCCTTATGGCGTTGCTCTCAGTACTTCTTATTGCAAGAGTAAAATTAGGACTACAGCTCATTTACAGATCCTTACCTGCACCTCATACCTAAGCTTATGATAATAAGGCAGGTATCTGTATAAGGTCTTACACCTCAGGTGCTTTTCATCAGGAAGATACAGTGATAAATATATAGGTAAGTTATTTCAGATCATGGTCTTGTGTCTGTGCTTATTTCTAACGAACGTTCCCACAGGTCCAGAGAAGCTTAGCAACTGGCTAAAACCCCAGAATGATGTCCTGGTTTCAGCTGTTACAGCAGTGATGGATGAATACCACATCATTTCTGGAAGAAAGTGAAAGTGAAGGTGAAGAGGATATTAAAAGGGGTCTTCTTGCTCTCAGTATATCTTTTAAGAGAATACATTTTTAGACAGCTGAAACTTTTTTGGTGTGTCCTTGGTTCGAGCTACTGTGAAGTAATTTTTTAATACTGAAATTACTTTGAGGTCAAGTTCACTGCAGTGTCCATTAACAATCTTTGCTGAAGACTGTTTTGGGAAACTGCAGTCAGTTTGCTGACATAAATTGAGGGAAGCTCCACATAGCCTGAGCTCTTTGGGAAAGTAGAGATGCTAACATCTGGGCCTGAGCCAATATGCTAGTTCAGCTCAAAGATGTTGGAGTCACTTCTTGTACCTAGAAAGAGCATGATGCTGAAAGCCCAAGTGGTGAGGCTCATTCCTGCAGTCTGCATTGAGGGTGATATTTCCATGAGGATGTGCTGCATCAGCCAGCAAGAAGTGAAAATTGATGGAGTCCAAAATTCTTCATTGAACTCTGGTATGTTGCTGTCCTAGTTGGATGTTAAATATTAAAAGC